TCAGGCACGGGGCCGGCCCTGTCCATGTCACGCAGCAGAGCCCGTGACGAGGCTGGCGAGATGAGCATTGATTTTAATTAATTGGATGGGCTAAACCCAATCAATCTTCCCCGGCAACGTGGGGCTGGCGTTGGGGGTGGAGGGGGGGCAGCCATGGAGCCGCTCCCCTCGCCGGGTCCCCACTCCCGAATGTGCCGGGCATCGTCACCAGCGTCGTGCGGTTCTGGCTCTTCTGGCGCTACCCGGACCGGCCCCACAGACCCCTGCACACCTGAGGGACCCCCGGGACGGAGCCCCCGTGCTCACGGAGCCATGAAGGAGCCCCCAGAACCCCCCAAAACCCAGCCCTAGGTGCTGCTGCCCCCCACGGTGCCCCAGGAGGGCACCTCTGCCGCCATCAGTGCCCCCAGCCTCAGTCCTCAGTGATGAGTGGGGGGGTCTCAGCGATGCCTTTGGGAGGTGGGAACCCCTGCCCCGGTCCTTTGGGGGGGGTCTTCCACCCCGGTGGGGGCTGCCGGGCAGCCCCTGCCCATTTTGTACCAATTCAAGTGCCTTTTGATAAACCAGAGCCGTCCCTGCAGCCGCTGTGTCCTGGGGGAAATTGGGGGGCTCATCCTGTTTCCCCTGGGGGGCAGGGGCCGGGTTGGGACAAGGAGGAGGTGAGAAACACCCGGACATGGACACGGACACGGACGTGTACACGGACACGGACACGCGGTGATGCCGGGCACCGCGCGATCAATTAAAACCCTCGCTAAAACCGTGGCCATCGAGCGCACACGAACCAGGCGGGCACTGGCATCGACCCCAGCGCGATTAGCGAGTTCATTAACGAATTAACAGCGGTGGGGGGGACGCGGCTGCGGGGCAGGGCGCAGGCACGCATTTGGGGCGCCCGATTCCAGCACCGGGGTCTGGTGAAACGCGGCCCCCACCAGGGCTGGAGACCTCCCCCCCTCCCCAAGCCAAAGGGCGAGGACCCCCGTGGCTCCCTTGATGTGGACGTGGCCCTGTCCCCGGTGACACAGCCCGGATCCAGGAAGCGGGGACGGTGACGAGGACTTTGGCGCTGGTTCACAGCTCACGGCTGGGGGGAAATCAACAGCGCGGCAGGGGTTTGACAGCGGGCGAGGGATGGGGCCTGGCCAAGCGGTAAGGTGGGGTCTGGCGGCCCCGACCGGCTGGGATGGCCACGGGTAGCACATGGAGGGCCATAAGTAGCCCTTAGATGGCCACAAATAGCCCACAGAGGGCTATGAGTAGTCCCTGGATGGCCATGAGTAGCCCCTGAAAGGCCATGAGTGGCCCCTGGATGTCCATGAGCACCCCGTGGATGGCTATAAGTAGCCCTTAGATGGCCACCAATAGCCCACAGAGGGCTATGAGTAGCCCTTGTATGTCCATGAGTAGCTCATGGAGGGCCTTAAGTTGCCCATGGATGCCCATGAGTAGCCCACAGAGGGCCATGAGCAGCCCCTCCTGCATGTCCATAAGTAGCCCTTTTATGTCCATGAGTGGCTTCTGGATGTCCATAAGTAGCCCTTAGATGGCCACAATTAGCCCACAGAGGGCTATGAGTCGTCCCTGGATGGCCAGGATGAGCCCCTGGAGGGCCATAGGTAGCCCTTAGATGGCCACCAATAGCCCCCAGAGGGCTATGAGTAGCCCTTGTATGCCCATGAGTACCCCCGGATGCCCATGGGCAGCCCCCGGAGCGCTGCCGTCCCTGCCCCTCAAAGGCGCCGCTGTTTTGCCGAGGCCGGGGCGGTGCCACCCCA